TTCTTTTGAAATATTTGTCAGTATCAGTAGTGACATTTTCAGCCCACCTGATATCATTAAAATAGTGAGATCGATAAAATGAATATCTTAAGCTAGTGGTGTTTTGGTTTCCTAGTTTGAGGGTTAAAAACTGTCATTGCTTTTCTTTATAAATATGAGTAACTGAATATTAACTTTATTAAAAAGAAGAGAAGATAGAAGCTGGGATGTTTAAACTTCTAGTTTAACTACTGTGTTGTTTCTACATATTTTTAAAAGCTAATCCTTTATTGTAAACATAAACTATGATTTTGTTAACTGTAATTTACCACAGTGATATAATTGTGAACTACTGAAATGTGTAAGTGAGAATTCACCCATTATGTTAAACCACTGTGGTGAACCTTTTCGGCACCAAGTGCCGAATCGAACCGAGCACTCTTAACATCCTGCATCAGAGAGTACATCCGGGCAATCAGGACGTCAAAAAGAACTTACATTGCCACTCTGATTGTGTCCGCTGAGTCGCGCCCAGCCACCCTGTTCAGGATCACCCGTTCCCTCCTAAATAGGAGGGATACGAGTGATCCTTTACAGGGCAGAGCTGAGGACTATGTCCAATTCCTTGCGGTTAAAGTTGCTCGGTTTCGGGCGGACCTGGACTCCAAACCTGCAGAACCAGCCGAGGCACTAAGGGATAATTTGGTAGGTCATCACTGGGTTGATTTTCAAGCTGTTACCCCTGAGGACGTGGACAAAGCCATGAGAGCTGTAGGTGCCTCCACATGTGTACTGGACCCGTGTCCCTCCTGGCTGGTTGTCAACAGCAGGGAGGTGACACAGGGCTGGATCCAGGTGGCTGTTGCCGCCTCCTTACGGGAGGGGGTCTTTCCCCCCGCATTAAAGGCGGCGGTGGTGAGACCCNGAAGAATGAAATATTCTAAGAAATATTAAAAAGGCAGAATATTATACCTCCCTGGATGAGAAAAGGAGAAACATGCTCTTGGAAAGCAGCCCCCATCTTTGTTAATAGCCCAGAAAGGCTGGTGCTAATCTAGCTACAAGACAAAAAACTGGGCCATCTTATCTGCAAAAGACATTCACCTCCAGGGTGATAGGATTATCCCTCACTCAAGATCCAAACCAGGACAAAGCCATTAAGCCATAATAGGAATTGCCCAAAGCCCCTTCATTACATCCCCCTGCAAGATTTAACCAAGTCTGGGACTCAAGACAACCTACAAAGTTAGCCCTTCATGGCCCCATGGGAGTCTGACAACCAATCAGAGTACGTTTCTTACACAGGAACAGGAAGCTCCAAGGCAGGGCCCAAGAGAGGGTATGAATCTCTTTCTCTCTCTCTCTCTAAACCATGTGCTCATTTTGCCCAGGACCCCAAAAGCCCATGTGATCCTGTCCACCATTAAACCATCTTTCCAAACAGCCTCCATGTTTCCAGTGTCTTTCTCCCCACTTGGAACTGAACCCAGATTGACATTTCCTCAACAATTTGGCACCCCAGATGGGATTCCAAGCTAACCTGGCCAATGGACCTCGCCCAGGTAAGCCTCCCTTGCTGGCAGCAGACCCATTGAGTCTTTCCTGTGCCTTTCCTAAACACAGAAAGCAAAGCCTGGAAAGTATAGGGCAGTGATGGTGAACCTTTTTCTTATGTTGTGACAAAATTGCATTCACGCACACTATCATGCATGCACACTAAATCCTCCCTGCCCAATTGTGCATGCGCACATGACCTCCCCGCATATGCGTGCACAACCTCTCCCCGGGCTCCAGAGGCTTTCTTGAAGCATGTGGAGGGCGAAAACGGCCTCCCTCAGCCCCCCAGAAGCCAGAAATTGATTGTTTCCTGAACTTCTGGTTGGCCCATTGGGGCTGTTTTTTGCCCTCTCCAGCCTCCAGAAGCTTTCCTGAAGCCTGGGGAGGGTGAAAAATGACCCCAATGGCCTAACCAGAAGTTTGGGAATGAACTTCCTGTTGGCCTGTTGGGGGCGTTTTTCACCCCCCCCCCNAGCGGTATATAAGTCTAACTGCTATTGCTATAAGTCTAACTGCTAAATGCTATTGCTATTGCTATTTACAGGGAAAGCAAATACTCATACTGTTCCACTAAGAGAAGGGAAAGGAAAACAGTTCTATGAAGTCTATTGACTCTTGTTATCTGCAGATAACATTCTCTGGATGTAAAAGAGAATCAAAACTTCAAATATTTCATAAATGTACATACATCTTTTATCTATAGGGTGCTTATTCAGAATTAAGTCCTCTTATTTCAGGGTAGTAAACTTCTTGGATTATTTTAAGATGCAGTGTTGATTTTAGTGTAGAGATCAGGAGAGTGAAGATGACTCATTTTTGTAGCCCACCCCTACAAAACCCTCAGTGTGCCTTGACCACATCATCAAAATGAAGCAGAAATCTGTCAATTTTTAGTAACAAACCTCATCATTACCCCAACAGGTCAGGAAATAAGTGAATAAATCACAGCTTCCGGATTGGAAAAAAAAAAGTGGCCTTCACATTTTCGTCAGACTACCTAAATTAAAAAGGAACTGCACACAGATATTACTGTGTATGAGTCAGCTTCTAGATGGTATGGTTGATGGTTAAATCGAGCACCTGAAAGCCTGCAGATTGTTCTCTGTCTTAAATGTGCATTTGTAAAGCTCTCAGCATTATGCCTCTGGTTTTAGGAACCAGTGTTTCCCCCCCCCCCAAAAAGATAGCAAATTATTTTGTTGTTGGGAAATGATCATTTAGCTGTTTGATCTGTTTACATGAGAAAACACAACTTCTTTAGGTAACCTGCTGCTTAAATATCCTTCACATATTAAGAATTCTTTTTCTAATACCACGTCTACACACTTCAATCAACAATAGTTATACTCCTCCTCCTCAACAGCATGGAAAATCTGGGTAGCGCAGACATGGCCAAAGCCCCCTTTTTGGTTTCCACAGTCATCCTGCAATAGAGACCTCATCCTCTTAAGAGTTCTGCAAAATGGAGCAGCAAGATAGTCCATCATAAGATAAATGCTGGCAGAATATTCCAGATAAGTAGCAGCACAATTGAGGTGCTTTTCATTAGCGGCTTGGGATGGACATAATGATGAGACTGGTTGGGATAACAGAAGCAAAAAGTTTGGCCTGGACAATGGCAGCAGAGGAAATATGCCTATATAGCCAAACCCTTATTGATACCTTTTAGTGCTGACATAAATAACTCCCCCACCCCGATTTTCTTGATTTTTCCTGAAAATCACCTATTGGGTCAGTACCGTTCCATTGAAAATAGCAAGTCTGGGCTGTAGCCCATTATCCCAATAAGGACTCCCATGAATTGTGAAATTGACCAAAACAACTAAATCCATTTGGAAATCTATTAGCAAAATGTGCTTCTTGTGGCACATCTGGTCATAACCATCGACATCATTTTGGGAGTATTCTTTCAGGAATATCTGCCTGTAACAATCTGGACATCTTTGAACAGCAGGCATTTCTGTCATTTTTAGTATAAAATTTTTTGTTACAGCAAGGAATTATCTACAATGGTCCCTGTCCTTAATTACCTGAAAATGCCAGATTCTACTATATTGTTTCTCTATCTGTAGCTGGTTCAGGATGCTATCAAAGTAGAAATCCAGGATCTCATTCAGAGAATGAATAGGAAGTCCAGAAATATGGCCGATCTGCTGATCACAACTAGACGACCATTTAACATCATGAAGTTCAGAGTCTACAGCTTCCTATGTGCATTATAGCACTTCTCTGATTGGTATCTTACAAATATAGTAACTGTGATGTGAATGGTATGCATAGGTGCAACTCTGGCATTTACCTGGACAATTTGTGAAGCTTTTCTGAGCTGCTAGGTTTGCCTAGCTCTTTTCTCACATTTACACATCTAATTGGAATAAATATACTTCTCTCTTTACTTTTTTGTCCCGCACTCTCCGGGTGCGCTTCAAGGTGCTAGTTGTCACCTACAAAGCCCTTCATGGTATTGGATCTGGGTACTTGAGAGACCGCCTACTGCCAATTACCTCCACTAGGCCAATAAGATCCCATAGATTAGGCCTCCTCCGAATTCCATCAGCCGGTCAATGTCGACTGGCAACTACCCGGAGGAGAGCCTTCTCGGTGGCTGCTCCGACCCTATGGAATGAACTCCCCGTGGAGATTCGTACCCTCACCACCCTCCAGACCTTCCGTGTAGCCCTTAAAACTTGGCTGTCCCGACAGGCCTGGGACTAAAGACTTCAACCCCACCCGAATAGTATGACTGTTGTGCTTTATAACGATGTATTGTCTTCATGTGTATAACTTGTTTTGTCCTTCCCTCCCCCTGAATTGTGAGCCACCCTGAGTCCCCTCAGGGAAAAGGGCGGCATACAAATAAAGTTAAATCTAAATCTAATCTAAATCATCACCAACAACCAGAAACATTTTTTTTTAAATTATCAGTTTTGGCTTCTTTATAACCTAACAGTCAAAATATATTAAAAGTAGAAAATTAAATCGGGGGAAACACTTTTAAAGCTAAAAACACTATACTGAACTTCAAAAAGAAATTATGATATGCCAAGATTTTAATATACAAGATTCCCAATTTAGAGCCACTGAAAAGAAAGATAAGTTTATCTGCATTTTCTAAAAAATTGCTGTCATATTAATTACAGAAACTGACAGATGCTAATATTAACTGTACAGCTTATCTAGTTCAGTGCTATGTACAGCTTGAGTTTTACGGGCTTGGTGTAAGAATATCCATGTTCAGTTGGATATGTACAGGTGGCATCTACTCGGCAAATGTTCACATTCTTTTTAAAGTCTAAATTAATACAGACAAACTTCAGTTAGGAGTTACTTCCTTGCTTTTTTTTCCTGCTAGGAACTACAAATTCTTGTTGAGAAGCCTCTTGACTGCTTCTCCTTGTACTCTTTCTCCACATTTGATTAGAAATTGTATTATACTGCAAGCCAAATTTGACAGAAAACACATATTTGTAGTGAAGTCATTTCTTTAATATGGCATATATAAAGCAAGTCTCCCAATTACATAATTCAATATTGCCTTCCCCCAAAACCATTCTTTAACCATAAACCTGATGAATGTCATTTGCAGTTCTGAGAATGATAATGGAACGCAATCTAAGGGAAAATTATGATGAAAACAGAAAAGTCATGATAGTGAGTTCCATCAGATTCAACTTTTTTTTCACAAAAGTCTTTGCCTCCTGGACATTCTAGCTTTGCAAACTGAAAAAAGCCAGCCTTTGAAGAAATTGATATTGCTCAGAATTGTGCACTATGCAGCTGGTATCTGGACCGGAGAGAGAATGTGCTTGGCTTGGGAGCAGAATTCTACATGCAGAAATATTGGTATGTAACTGAGTGTTTACATGTGTGTGTGTGTGAAAAAAGACCACAAACAGTACTCTGTTTTTTTGTCACAGCAAACTGGATGTGTAGTTTCCTTAATGCTAGAGGAGAAGAAAAGTACAGAAAAGCTAGCTAAGAATTGAAAGAAGCTGCTCAATTTGACCATTTTGTGCAACTTCCTGTGGTATTGGGAAAAACTGACAAATCCTATTACCCATTTTTAGCACGACCTTTAAGAGTCATCATCATTGGAGAAAGATATGCACAACAAAACAATGAAGAATACACCCAAGACTGCCTAGATCTCCCTGGAGAAATCCCCATCCATCTGGCAAATACATCTGACAGCTCTGCAACCTCTTCCTACTTCTTGCTTTGCTTTAGTGTCCCCTATTGCAGCAATGATTAACCTAACCCGAAGCAGTCTGGAAAGAAGGCAGGAAGAGGGAAAGGGGAAGATTCTTTCCTCTGATCTTGTCTCCTTTGGATTCCCCTCTCTTCCCACAAGAAGTGCAGTGCAGAACACACAGGTCCTCTTGTCACCACGGCACACCAAGCGGCAGAACGGCTCATAAAGCGAACATTGCATCTTCCTCTTTGTCCTTCTTTCGCTGAGGACCAGAGTTAGTGGATGTTGATGTGGAAAGAGCCCCTGTGGGGGTGCTGGGAAGGGTAGGAAGTCGATCTGCCACCTTTGCACGCTCCTCAAGGAATTTGTCAAACTCTGGGGAAAAAGAATTAGGGATAATTTTAAAAGAGGAAGAATTAAGCCAGGGCTGGAAGAGCACTGGGAGGAATTACAATTGAAATATCTATGGGGGGTTCTTGGTGCTCTCTGAGCTTGGTTGATTTCTTGCAGGCCTTTCATTACCCAAACGGGTAATGAAATACCTGCAAGAAAACAATCAAGTCCAGAAATTACCAAGGATCCCCCATTTCAAGTCTGAGTTATAAATATTCTCTTTGTTGTGGAACGCCAGTGACAAGCAGAGCTGACAACAGATTTGGATAGTGAGGAGATTGGAGAGGAACATGGGCCAGTCCTGGAGTCTGGGGAAAGGCTCCGACGAGTGCTCTGCGTAGGAGGCAGAGATGGGGGCTGGGGCCATCTGATAGTTATCAGCTGCCTTTGAAATCAGAGCTGGAGCCTCTTCCCAGTGTATGCATGCGCAGAGTTGCCAGATGAAGGGAACAGCTAAGGAACAAGGGTCGACTTGGGAGTAAGGTCACGGGTGGATGGTGAATGACCCCTCCCATAGGGAACAAAAGAGGAGTGAAAGGGGAGGGGTGTTTGCAGGGGGCAATTACTTCATTCCTGCATTCTTGCCAAGTATTACGGTGTCTGAAAGATTCGGCCTGGCCACTCTCCAAACCTGATAAGGTCAGTAATTGTGAACTATCTTGAAAAACTGTGGGCCAGGACTTTGCTGGGGAGGAATTCATTGTAAATTAAATAAAAGTTTTATCAGGATGAGGACTCGGCTTTGTGCTGCTGGGGAAGCCTAGGTCAGAACATTCTTCTACTGGTGAAACACATGTCTGGAGTTGCACAGATCATATGGCTGTGGTAATAATATGACAAACAGTTGTTTTCATCAGGCCATTTCTGAATGCATAGGTACAAGAGCTAACAGGTCTAACAGATTCTGGTAACCCTATTAGGGGGTTACAAAAATTACAGGTATGCTAAGAAATCATGTTTGTGTGTTGTTAATATAGGATGGTTTGATTTTAGACTTCGTACACAAGGGGTCAATAGATGAAGAACATTTCAGGCCGAATAGCTGGAGAATATCAGTCATAAAGGATAGAATATATGATTGGTATAACTTGCCTTCACTGGTGACACCCTTTGGATCCACTGTCTCGTTTCCCTGAGGAGAAAAAAAGGCAATATGGAAACCAAATAAGAGTAAATGGAAGCTCACAGGGCTCACGTGGAACAGAATTTTCCACACATACTAAGATCTGGTATATGTTCACCCACCATATCTACAGAGTAATGTGTTTCAAGGAGCAGTTGAATTTGGGACACTGATATCAAATTTCTGTTTTTAATGCTGATATGTCAGTGACAGACAGACCTGGCCACAAGAAAGGAAAAGTAGACATCTCCTTTTCATTGTCAGAAGAGACTCAAGGAGAGTAATGCAAGAGAGGAAGTCAGGCTCAGGAGTTAATACTGATCATCTCTAAGCTAGAGACAGAATCTAAGATTCCTCTGCCTGCCCTCCCAGGATATACCATCTTGTTATGTATGTCCCTCCCCACAAGGGTGAGCAAGTAATTAACTCCTTCTTATACACAAGCATTTCATCTTTATTACATACTCCTTCAGCGGAGATCCACTGTTCAATATTCTCCATGAAAGCAGCCTGGGATAGAGGAATCTGAGAAGGAAAGTGAGAAAAAGAAAAGGACCAAATAGTCTTTGCATATCCATGTTTGTAAAAAAAAAAGCCCAAAACCCCCTCAACCCTCAGGGTTAAAAAGTCATGGTTTAAATCAGTACAATTCTTGGTTTAATATTTCTTAGCGTCACTGAAAAAAGGTTCAAATTCTTTTTCACACAGCTTAAGCCTTACCTTACGGGTACAGACTATGGATAACATCATAATGTATATGGAGAGACATCATTAATTAGAAGGCTTTGACAGATGTTTTAATTTTATTAAGCAAAGCACAGAAATCTTCTGTGTTTTTGTTTATTTTAGGTATTATCATTGTTTTTAACAAGCCTAAGGAATAACATTTTACAAAACAAAAATCAGGTAATTTATGTCTAGCAAAAGTGCTTCTGTGGCTTCTGCTCCTGCTCCCATCTTCTAATAGAAAGGTCATTTTAAGCTCTCATTACAGACACTCTGGCACAAAAAATATACACTTAAGATATGACAAATAAGATATCTCCAAGTTTCACTCCTTTCCTCTACACTTTCATCTCTTTTGGCTAATTATGATGCCTTACACTAATCTTCTTCCTACTGTTGTTTTTTTGGGGTGGGGGTGGGTGGGAGGGAGAAGTGGAGGAAAGAGTGATGTGTTAGTTGCTGGAGTTCCTGAGTGAAAGATGGTGAAAGGGATGTAAATCCAAGAAAAATATTTAAATAAGTTTCTCATATTTTGTCTATTTCCTGTGGTTAGCAAAATACTTTTGAAGTATATTTAAAATTTAAAGGAAATAGGGTTTCTTATATAAACAATATATTAGGTAGCCATTTTTACTTATTGCTATTAAGCATATAACCCGTGACAGTGATACAAAGGGTTTTGTTTCCATTATAAACCAAAAATGAAAACTTGCCTGGGGAATTATATTGTAATTTCACAATGTAATGATGAAACTCCACTTCTTACTTCCTCACTTCTTCATTTTTAAGTTCATGTTCCTATCTTAAACCAAGTAAGCTTATCTTGATAAGCCAGAATGTGCAAAAGAAAGAATATATGTTTATTTTGGTTTTCACTATTCAAAAGCAAGCAGGTGTGATCTCAATAGACAGATTCATAAGTTAAGAAAGATTAAGTTAAAGTCAAAGTTAAAGCATAAATACTATTCAGGCAGAAAAAGTACTCAGCTTTCGTTTACAAAACCATTGGGAAACAAAGAGTAAAGAACCAAATGAATAGAAGCCAACTAGCCCAAGGGAAGAAATCAAACAATCAGTTCCTTTAAAGCCACTACCAGAATCTGATCTATTTTTATCTCATTCTCTTCCCTCTGCCAAGATAAAGCTCTTTTTTCTTCTTCTGTTCAAATCAAACTGGGTAGAAAATTTGGGGAAGAGAAGCATTATTAAGAAAAATGTGGTCATAATTTATTTTATCCCCAGAAAAGCTTTCTGGAACAGATGGAAATGAGAGCTATTAAAGTAATCCAGAACAGTGTATGGGTTCAGCTTGGAAAAGCAGTACAATTCGAATCCTAGGTTGATGTTATTGATTAATTCAATGGCATTAATGGTATATTAACCATTAAGCAGACTAAGCATGTGCTTAGGGCACCAAGTCCAAGGGGGCATCACGAAGCTGAGGAAAAAAAAAACAATGAAGATTTGTACAGTGTGTGCAAAGGAGGGGGGGAATCAAGAGTTGTCCATGCTTAGGACGCCAGTGAGCCTTAATCCGCCACTGAATGGCTTGTATAATCCTGGAATCCCAGGATCAAAATGATAGGCAGCTAGATATTCCTAGTGCTTGTGCGTATATTTCTCCTGAAAGTGAGTGCTACAGAAAAAAGTCAAAAGAAGAGGCAAAGCAGAACTTGTCACTAGATGACTGAATGAGCACTATGTGAAAAGTACAAATCCTTGCTTGATAGGGAACCTTTTAGGTTATGGTCACTTCATAATCCTTTCAGCCTTTCTCCTCACTCCCTCCTGAAATAAGGAGAACATTTCTAGTCTTTCATGAAAGAAATACTGGATTTTTTGTACATAACCTCAGGACTGCAATGCAATGCAAGTGCATTCAGAGTTATACACATCATGTTACAAAGATGGTGGGAATAAATTCAAAAGCTGTAGAAGATTCTATTTTGGCTATTGTAAAAAACTGTTCCTCTACCGGGTAGAATCTGGAATGTGGCATTTTGAAGAAGAGGTTTCTTGGCTTCAAACCTAATCCTATCACTTAGTCTGCTGCTGTCCCCACACAGTGTTCAATCTGTGCCACAATATGCTTAATATTCTTTAAGTGCTTTTTAAAATCTTCCCCAGCAGTGAAGATACATTCTCACCATTCCTTGGCGCATCATCCAGTTTGAAATCGGGGCCTCATCAGTAGTACCACCTGGCTCCAGCTAGTTAAGAGAAAATTTGTTTTCAAAGAAGATAGAAAATGTGGGTGATGAGGAAAGCAGGGAGCAATGTTCTTAGTAGGGGAAGTATCCCCTCTATCTAAAAGATCATGGGGAACTTCTCTCATGTCATTCTTTTTAACAAAATTGAAGGAATTTATGACCCAAGTCCATAAGAGAAGGTTGAATTATCTACAGAACAGAAAGAAACTGAATGGACAAACAGTGCCATTTGCTCTTAAGGACTGAATTAAAGGAGGATAGCTATTTAAGGGGTGTAACTCAGACTTCAAAAGAAGCTTGATTCAGATGGACTATATTTGAAAACTATGTTAGCATAAAGTGGATTCAACACAGGAAGGCAATATATTTAGAGAACTGCTCATCTTTTTGACTGTATTTACCCCAGCATGAATGCATAGGACTCATTCTCTTTTGCAAAAGGTTTTTTTTTTTAGTATTGTATTTTTGGAGCTTGATGATTGTTAATTGAAGAATTTCAATGATACATATTGCATTTTTAATTAGCATCTTTTCTTATGGCTGAGGTATAATAATTCCAAGATACTGTATTGTGAAACCGAAGTATTGGGTTGATTAAAATGTTATATATTTCAGAATTTTGTGGAAATATCTTTTAAATATTTGGATTATGTTTTTCCAATTCAATTGAATTTTAATGAACTATTGAACATAATGCAGTGCATTACTATGGATCTTTAGTTTGCATTATTGCTGAACGTATATAAGTAGTCTATTGTGATTTATTATGAACTATTGTGGGAATTATACAGTATTGTGAAAAAATTGCTTGAAAATGAATTGAAATCTGAAATCATTTTGCCTCCTCCTTACAGTATTTATCCTCACTATGAGTAGATGCATGTTCTCTTACTTTGGAGTGGTAGATATATTCATATACAAATTATACATGAAAACATAGAAATTATATGTTTATCTCATATTATCAAGAGAGATAATTACTATCATTTCTCCAAATTTAGCATCTTTCAGTTATTTTGAATTTCACTTCACATTGTCTCAGCAAAATAACTGATTGTGCTGGTTGGAAGTCAGTAGTGCATATGGGGAGGCCTTGAATAGGCAGGATATGATGCCTTGAATAGGCATGATATGCCTCTTCAATTATATAGTTATGTAGTTATATATACACAGTTTGATAGACAGCTACTCACTGCTCCTGTATTCTGTTGCCTGGCATCCAAGGCTCCAGCTAGACCTTTTGTTGCTAAAGGATCTTCATACTTCACCCTGAAAGAGGAAATCAGGTTAGCCGATACACATGGGTTTGGGCATTTTATCTAAAGCACAAATTATGTTCCATATTTCTGGGGTGAGGTTGGGAGTCCTTTACACACACACTTACACACACACACACACACACCACATAGACATACCAATAATCAGGCCCAATAGAAATGTATTATATAAATTACATTACATGTCTAATTTGTCATTTTCTTTTAAACTTTCTTATTTATTTGATGCATAACAGTTGAATATTCTTATGTGTAAACTACATTTTCTTTGAAGAAAAAAAATACTGTGATTGACGTGATTCTACCTATCATCCATCCATCCATCCATCCATCCATCCATCCATCCATCCATCCCATAATTTGGTAAATACTGGCATATAGATGTACTTAGGTTGATCATAAAACAAAAGTTTAATAAAGAGATGTGAGAGAGAAAGAATTTGGAGAAAATTTTAATGTCAAAATTAAAAAACTCTCCTTCAATTGTCTTTTTTATCTGGCTCATACAATATTAAAGAATTTTCAAGGAATAGATGGTGAAATCGGATATTAGATTTAATTTATTATACTGATTAGCTGTGGTCATTTGAGGATGAAATAAAACAGCAAATGCAACTGTATTGTAGATTGGAAAATAGATAGTTCAGATAGTTGCATACAAAGTTAGGATTCACATTTAGAAGTAAAATAACAATCAGAAAAACCACTATTTCATTATTGGTAATCAGTAGATCTCTCAGATGAATTATTTACAATGAATGTTCAATGAAACTGCTGAACATTCTCAGAATGGCTTCTAGCAAATGTGTGAACCTGCAGTCTCTTCTGTGTATTTCTGAGGGATTGAAAGATTATACCCAATCTCTATCCAAATTCCATGACAAAACTGCTTACTCCTAGAGGTTGTAAATAATTCCTTAAATGTAATTATCAGTGGTTGTTGAAATACATTTGGATAGCATTAATAAGGTTGATAAGACATTGGCAGCACAGAAATTCCTGCACATTCTTTATTCTATGGGTATATCCTTTAACCACCCATCAATCCAGGTTTGTAGAATCCTTCACACTTTAAAAAAATGGCTTACTTTGTGTGTTGAGAAGGCCATGTGAAAACTGTAGAAAAGTCCTTGCTCCATATTTCATCTCTGTACTATTTCCACTGTAACTGTAGTACTGCAGATATAAAATCTCCTTCTCAGCTACTTAATCTCTTTTAAGGAGGCATGTGAAAATGTTTTGCCAGACTGTAGTTATAATTGGACGATGCTACTGGTGTGAATTATTTATTATATTTAGCGGACTTAGAATATTTTGTTTTTGTAGTTGATTAGAATAGCTGTAAATAATCTTAAGCACTGATGTACAAGAGTAAAGTGACCAAAGAGTTAAGATGCAACGAAGATTTTAAGTCCAAGTCTTTGATAGCTAGATATTTCTCTATTGCATATTGATTTGCATGTATATATATTAGAGGAAGCAATTGCAACTATTTCATTCTAAAATTTAATATTCAAATGTAATTTCACTGAATATTTTCCAAATGTGATAAAGCACAGAAAGTCAGATTTCATACATACAGAATATGTTTTGTTTTTGACTAGAATTAAGGATTTCTGAGTTTGCACATCTGTCAAATACCAGAATTAAATGGGGTGCCTAGGCATTTTGCATAAAAATCCATTCCTAGTCAGCTTGAACTTCATTCTGGTATAGTAGTTTACAGATGATGGAGAACCAATTTGTTTGCTGCTAAACGGAGATTTAGAATAAGATTAATTATTTAAGAATAATTTTAGAAAAATTATTTAAGAATAATTTTAGAAAAAGTAATTTTATTGCAAGAGTATTGAAATGAGTTGGTTGAGAACAGATGAAAGGCTGTAAGTCATCCAATGATTCTGAATCTTCTCAGCCCGACATCTTAGGAACTAAACCTTAAAAACCCAGTTTGTTTGGGAATCTAACCTGATCCTCTAATCAAATCTACATCCCATTTTGAGAAAAATGTAGTTTTGCAGCCTGCATATACTAAGCAAATAAAACACTCTTCTATGCTATCTTTTAGTCTGAGATTTTACAGAAGGCATTCTGAAGTTGGTAGCTATGTAAAAGATGATAATAGGTACTAATCTGCTGTGCCCTGCCGCTAGCAATCTGTCTGTCTGCTTGCTTATTGAGATTTTTGCAAACATTATTTTAATTATAGCTCTACAGGAAGAGGCAATAAGGTACTTTCATTTAAATATGGTGTTATAGGCACTCAGTATAGAACTGTACATGCATATAGTTCTAAATCTCTATTTCACCTTAATGCATGAACTTAACACACATTACATGCTCTGTTTTGCAGGTAAAATTAGACAGGCATAACTTTTCCAGATTAATTAATGCACTCAGCTATTGCGCTGCTGAACATCATCTCATATAAACTGTTTCATACAGTTACACCCTTTTGAAAAAATAACTCAAGTTTTGTTATTTACTCTAAAGTATATCCAAATCTGCCTTCTGTCTACACTCTACCTAAATAAATTCTTTCTTACACAGGGCCAATGCAGCCTTGGATGGTGTTGCGCCAGAAATGAGCTCCCTCCAAACCATATTTCTGCCCTACCCATCACTGGGACGTGTTCCTTCTTGTAGCCAGGGGGTTGGGCCACCTCTGCTCGAACTTTTCAAAGAAATGCTTGTCAGTGAAGGGCCCACTGTGCACAATAGCATCGAGGATGAAGCAGAGTGCCACCACCATACCAGTGACAAGGCAGAAAGGCAGGAAAGGTTTAAGATGTTGCCAGAACTTGTTCATGATGTTTTGGAAAGATATCCAGACCAACTCCAGTAAAGTTATCTTGATCTGACCGTCAAAGCATAGAAAAAGAAAAGCACAAACATATGCGGAAGTAGAGGCATGCTGCAGAATAGATAATCCTGATCTGGTTTCCGCGTGAAAAAAATTAAAATAGGAGGCAACCAGTCCAACTTGAGATAGGTGTCCCTTTATCGGAAAGATTATATTTGTCTTAATCGTAAGAGGATCAAGTAGTGATGGAGAAAATATGCTGCCAATTCCTATGCAATTATCCAGAGTGGGAAAAGATCAGGCAGAGTGCATGTCAAGAGATTAAGTTTCAGCTGCTTCTAGTTCTCTGCTTTCTTTCCATATAGTTCCCAATTCTACTTCGTATTCCATTAAAAGCAAGCAGGCCAGGAGTAGTCTTCCTGCAGCATGGTATATGCGTGGGGCGTCCGTATTCTTCCTCTGCTATGATTTCCCTTCATCTTTGAACCAGGCAGAATCTCTGAAAAGGCGCGCTCTGCGGCAAGCATTATAAGCTCTTCAGTGGCTACAAGAGCTAAATCAGTGGTGCCTAGAAGCATACTGGCACGTAGCCTATTTTGCTAAGTGTTGGAGGGGGCATAAGTGCACATGGCCGTAAAAACATCTGTTTCTATTAGCACCGATGTCACTCAAAGACTTGCTTTAATCTTATGCCATCAAGTCTGAAAAATATATCAGGACACAGCTGTGTTTTTTCGGAACTACCGAATTGGGCAAGACCCTCAGAATTAGCCATATAACATTGCAAGACTAAAGTCAGATAAATTTGTATCATACTTTTTTGCTATACAAAATGCCTCATGTAATTTTCATAGCCATTCTGCAGAGTGGATCAGCACTACCATTATTCCTATTAAACAAATCTTGGGAGAAAGTGAGGGAAATTATGATTATTTTAAAGCTATTTGGTGAATGCATAGTTTTGCACCACAAGGAACGTGTCAGTAGGGTGTGTCAAAATAGCCAGTCCTGTTGTAGGAAATGTCTATTGCTTTATAGAGTGAGGAGCTGTGTCAATTTTTAAGATGTTTATCTCTCAAACGACTAGGTAATTAAGAATAGGTGAGAAAATTAAAATCAAAGAAGTTTCTGACAAACAGGCAGAACAGTTTCCTCAAAAAATGCTAACTCAGTCATTTGCTGTGCCAACAGCTCATGCTTTTAGTTTGCATAACAGCTTGCAGAAAGTCTGCATACCACCTCTAGATAAATAAATAAATAAATAAATAAATAAATAAATAAATAAATAAATAAATAAATAAGGAAGGAGCAGCTAGTCCTCAACTGCTGACTATCTGTTAAGCAACTGTTTTAAATCACAATGATGCTGAACGAAGGGACTTAAACATTGTACTTGACATTCTGACTGCTATAATGACCCTGTGCCCACATGATCACAATTCTGGAACTTGACAATCTGCTCACCCTTACAACTGATCTTGGGGACGCTACAGCTCTCCCCCATCCAATCCTGTCCTACCTGGGCCCTACCTTCCACTTGGCACGGTCCCTACAGACCTTGGCCTGTTCCCTGTCCCACTGAGTCCCACGCCTTTGAGGCAGCCCCGATGGGCCTTGCTCCACTTACCTCTTCCAAAGACTGCCTTTCTAAAAGAAAACCGGCTTGTGTGTTCTGCAGCTTTCTTATACAGAAACTACCTGGTGCTATGTTGGAAGCATGTACTATTTTGGAAGCAGTCACAATTCTCACAATTCAAGAATAGCAGTCGTTTCCAAAATGATGTCCGCTTCAAAGATGACACTAAGCAGCTTCTATATAGGAAGGGCTGCTGCGTGGCACCCATCAGCCGACTTTCTTTTGGAAAGGAGATCTCCAAAGATCACTTTTCCAACAGAGTGTCCAGCTAATGTGCCACACAAGCTTTTACAGAAGCGTTCTCGCGCCATTCTGGAAGTGGCTGCCATTCTTGCAATCTCTCAGAAGGACATGATTTTCCAAATGGCATGATTTGGAAAATCACTCCACTCTGAGAGATTGTACAAATAGTGCCCACTCCAGAACATACAAGGCTGTTTCTGCAGGAAGACTGCAACGTCGCATTGGCTGGGCACCCTTTTGGAGGTCAGAAAAAGTCAGTGGAGCAAAGGCATGACAGGGACAGAAGGCCCAGGAGTGTGGAACCCAATGCGGCAGGAAGCTGTGGAAAGAGTGCCTGTACGTTGGGAGAGGCAATGAAAACCCATTACAGCCAGAGTGAACAGGGAAGGTGCATAACAGTAACTAAAGCATTAGTCTTAATTGACAGTTACATTGCTAGACTGCTCTAATTCATAAATCTGTTCTTCATTTTGTCCATGCTATTAACAATAAACCTTCTAATGTATTGCAGCTGCAATTCACAGAAACTACTAGAGGTTTAGGAAATGCCAAGGGGGACAGGGAGTGGAGAAGAGGAATGCGCTAATTACAGCTCAGGTTTGTCCTAGTTCTTTGGAGTAGAACAACAGTCTTTTGAAAATCTCAACAATCTAATTCCCAAATTCACACTATTATTATTGTTGGGGCTTAACAAGACACAAAATATGTTTTGTTAGTATCACTGTATTAAAAATTTAAGGAATCAATACCTTAAATTCAGTAGTCTATTGTCAAAAAGGAAATCTAATTCTAATGGTAATACTCTGCTAAGGGAACCCATCATTCCCAAACTGACACCAAAACTAAGATTTTCAATTTCACATACAACATGGCAAGACTGATGCTACGTGAGTCATGTGACATCAGTTTCAAAACTTATTCTTCATAACATTGGCAGCCTTGATTTCAGTCACTTGGTTTGCCCATTTTTTTTCAACTTGAAGGACTTAAGAATTTTGGATTAACAACTTCCTTCTCTACATGAAAAATATGGAAGGGAAGCTAGTTGACAGCTTTTGAAATTATGTCTACATTTAAAAAATACAATCAACATTTTGTACAGTTTTAAATCAAAATGACACCAGTAAAATCTGAATATAAACATACATTAATTATCAATTCATCTCTTAGTTTCAAGAGTTTGCTTTATAGTATTCGTTATTTTTGCCCATACTAATATAGTGGGTATATTCACTTACTCTTTGCGTTGTTCAGCTAAGGAACTGCCACGGGTCAGTGCAAACATATCAAACTCTTCTTCCAGTTTGCTGGAATTATTGAGGGATTGTAAACCTGAACTGACACTGTTAGAACCAAGATCTATAAGGCAAAGGACAGCAAGGTATTATCTAGAATTTTGAAAATATATGAAAATATATGAAGAAATATATGAATCTATCGATTTGAAAAAGAAGAATCAAGCTTTCTTGCATGGAGGGTGCAAATTTTCCAGATGAAGAAAATATTAATTTGGGCAAAGGTGGCTATCAGTAATTTTATACAATTCTCAATAATTTCTCAATAAATCTGCCTATGACTGCGTGTGTTGGCCTACATTCAAACGATGTTTGTTTTTTTAAAAAAATATGAGGGAAATTGTATAAAAACTAGAGAGAGCTCACAAAATGACCAGATTTCTGAATATGAATGGGGAAAAGAGCTACTTACCAATTCCTGCAAGTTGAGATGAAAGTGTATTGACAGTTTCTGGAACTTTTTGTGCTGGTGTGATACTAGGTCCCATGTCAAGCAAACTGTTTTCATTCTCTGTGTCATTTTGTTGCTTGGAAGAAAAAAAAAAGAATATGCATTTTGTTAATCTTGGATTACTGTGAAGGATTACAGCATTTCTTCCAAAACATGCCTCCCAATTCACTGATCATGTGTTCTGATTTTTCGGGAAAATCCAACCAAGGATATGGAAGCCTCAGAAAAGGGTGATATGAATGAAAAGTTGCTACACAAGGTCCCCTCCAACTCTGTTATTGTTACATGAAACAGTCAGTTAAAAAGGGTGTTTACTGTTCTAACAAGGAAAAATAAATAAAGAAAAGGCCACCCAATGTTCAAAGGAACTCTCACACAAGCATTTCTTGGGGCATCTTAAGACTTCAATACATGACAGACTTCATGCTTCCAATATAGGTTCTACCATAGAATCAGTAAAACTCTGTGGGGTCCCTGGAACTGAAGTTTATGCCATGCTGGATGGTTATGAAAGCATATGACAAAAATGACAAGTCTAACGGACTTCAGTTCCAAGGAAAGAAAGTGTTTCTAGGATAAGATAAAAAAATATTACTCATCATCTCAAACTATTCCTTACATTGACTGGCTGTTCTTGTCCATTTCTATTCTGGAAAAGCCAGAACTGAATCTAGGATCTTTGGCACAGAGTATACAAACTCTTCCCCTGTACCACAACTATTGCCCTAGTTTAGGATTAGTCCAAACAACCAGGAATACTAACGAACAATCCTCATAGAATCTTTCTCTAAATCTAGTCAATGCAAAACTTAGTAAAGTTTTATGTATCATAAACTGACATGCTTCCTGAATCATAAACTGATATTCATTCTGTATTGGAAACATTTTGGCCAACCAAATGGAGATAAGTCCACCAGCAAAATGCAACTAGAGCTTTTAACATCTTTTTCACTTTTATATGGAAAAAAGCCCACCTACAAACATTTGAAGCCAGGAAGGACTATACAAAATAAATTCAAGTATGCTGCTGCAGGCACTAGCTATTTTATCTCATTCTCTAGCAATATCAATAGTATGACCACATGAGCATGCTTTGAAGGAGCGACAGAATGATTCAGTAAAAGAATTGCACTAGGACTCAGGATCCCAGGATCAAGTCCAACCTCAGCCAAGGAAATTTATAAATAATTTTAGGCCACACACTGTTTAAACCCAAGCTACCTCTCTGGATGGCTTTGAGGGTACAGATTGGTTAAGGGAGTGCCATGTATCCTCCACTGAGTTTTTGGAGAAAAGGTGGGCTATAATTCAAACAATCTAAGTAAATGCTGAAATACCTTTGCAGACTGGCCAGATCGGAGCCGTTCAAACCTATGAGAATCAAAGAGATAGTTTCAATGGAAAACAGCAAGGCTTTTATGTTTACATATAAAAGAGAAGGGAAAGAATAAGGGAAAAGGAAAGATGATCTCAGAAATACCGTTCGTGGCGCAGGAAAATATTGTTGAGGTTGTCATTGACGATGAGCAACTCTTCAGTTAACTGTTCATTAAGGATGCGGGGAATCAGCTCCAATATACGCTGCTGCATTGCTTTACACGTCCGATTCAGTTCCTACCCACAGTAGGAAGGTACAAGTTATGAGAACAGAATCAAACAAGCTAGGTTAAGAAGCAGCTGCTAATAACTAATCAATTAAAAATCTATGTTTCCTCATCTAGGTCATGAATCCCAAAAATAGTTTTATGGGGGTGGGTTAAGGCTCATCTCAGTGATTGCTAGGTTGAACTAAATGAAATCCTTATATACACAACAACAATAGCAGATGTCACATTTCAGCACTTCCTACCTGGAGTAGTTCAAGGTCAGAAGGTTCAGTTTGTCCTGGCACTAATTCTGTTAACATCTCAGACATTACTTTTACATTTCCATTCACCACTTCCAGTTCACTGCGTAATTTTCCAATCTGAAAACAACAACATAGGCATTTTCTAAGCATTCCATTACTGATGAACATGTTGCCTTAATTTGTCAAACCAACATTTTATCCAACGAGTATAGTCTGGTTGCTCTTGCCTATAAAATTTTCTCTGTTTTGTTAGATGTGGTAATTTAAGCATAAACAAACTGCTCCCTTCCTGGCTATTTTCAGGAAATTCCTTGAATTTATTTTAGATTTTGAGTTAACACCACTTACTCCTCTTTTGCCTTTAATTCTTTAACTCTATGGTTAGATGGTTGCAAATAGCCACAGCAGCAGAGTTTGTCCTACCTGCCAGAATAAATAACTAGAATTTTGTCCCCAGTGTTATGTTCTTATAGTCGGTATAACCTAAAGACTAACAGCTAAAAGTGGAAGTTAAGAAGCATCACTTCAAATGTTGCAGATAAGTTATGAATAGATGACAAAGGGTGTGACATATGTACTAATGGATGTGGTCTTATTTGTGAATAATACATGGGAGTCTGGCTATTCCTCTTCTCCCCTGGCTTTTGCTCAGACGTAATGTTTTTATAATGAACATCTGGAATGCAAAAAAAGACAAACTATCCTTTCTGTATGACAAATGGTAATAGGCTTGCAGAGAATTTACCATCAGCCCAGGAAAGAGAGGAATCCTTATATCCTGTCTAAATCACCTGCATAATATTGTTACATGCACTGCTTGCTCTTTCAGGCAAACATGTCCTTTGACACTGTCCATAAGTGTGTGGATTCCTTTGACACTGTCCATAAGTGTGTGGATTCCTTTTTTCAGAAACTTGCCATAATGGAATAGAAAGCAGTGGCCTTCAACCAGAAAATCTCTTATATAGAGGGAAGGGAGTAGTTCATGTTGCTCTTACCTGGTCTGGCGTAGGTGTGATAGAGGCCTCAGCTGCAATTTCTGGAACTTGTGGTAAAGATACAGGGTGCAGGATTGAATCTATCGCTTGAGGAGAATCTGCTGATGAAATAACTCCTGACTGGCACTCTGGTGGCGTGTATACAGTCTAAAGAGAAATCCATAAAGAAGATGAGTTCAGTTATTCAGTTCAGTTATTTCTACGGTATTAAAAATCTGGCCAGTCTATTATATGGTGTTTTTCTTACCCACAATTATGGTGTTTTCTTTTTATCTAAATAATGAGCCAGTCCTGCAGCTCAAAGTGTTTCCCATTCCCCTTAATATTTCTCTGTGGCTTCCAAAGCAGTCATTGCAGCCTGGCTCTTTCCATTTCTCTGCATGAGCAGAGAGCAGAAGATAGGATGAAATATGTTGCTTTTCAAAGCAAAGCAGATTTTCAATTAGATTGTGTGATTTAGGAGAAATGTGCAAAACTGTATAGGCAGTTTGTGTTCAGAAATCTCAGCTATGTCTGATAGAGGTTACGAAGCCTGTTTCTTAAATTCTGTATAGTTCTTAGACTCTGATTATGATAGCAATAAATTCCCTGTTGAATCCAAGGGATCTGCTTACTTTCCCTACACTTGATGTATCTTGCCATAAAGCTCTTTCATTTTTTTTAATAACATGTATCAGGAAAAACATGGGAACAAATCAACATCACTGTTTCTAAATATCTCCAAGATATATTTCATATAATATTATTCATGTAATATTTTGCTCTAGTATTTGTAATTCAAATAAAGAATTATTTTGCATTAAACATTTACCCTCTGGGGTGTATGGATGGGTGATAACATATCTAGATCTGTCATGGGAAACTCCAGGCCTTTTCTCCTCAGGTCCTCATAAACAGTCACAACCCCAGTCAGGTCCGGTGTACTACGAAAAGCATCAGCCCAGGACTATAAAGACAGAAAAATCATTACAATTTTTCATTTTTAAATTCCTGTGTGATTTTTTTTTTAAAAAAGCATGAACTTTATGATTCTGTTAATCATGGAAGAAAAACAGACTATGCATCAAAAGCAGAGAACAGTTACCAGATTTGAATATTCTGTTGTACCCTGGACATTTCAGCTATTAAAAGGTTTTTGATTCATGAGTCTAAATACTGGAATGATCTAATAAATACTAGATATACAATAACGCTAGCAGGATGTATGGCTGTTAGAAAGCCTGATTCTAACTTTTTAAAAATGTTTAATTTATTAAACTTGTTCGCCACCCATCTTACCACATTGTTATGTTTCTAGCCTGTGACTATAGGCTTGTAAGCTATTCTAGCTGAGCTCTAAAAGAAACAGCAGGTTTCATGAGTTAAAAAGGTAGCTTCAGACTGCTGCCTGTGTTTTGCCTCTTATCATGAACAGTAACATAATTATACAAAATAAGTTCTGATATTATTTATAATAATTATTTTATACAAGATAAGTTCTGATACTATGCAAATTGAATACATTTACAAGGTACATACATGTTTCAGATTTCACTTATCTTCAGGAAACCAAACATGGATAGAAAGTTTACTTCTATTTAATAAGCATAGATTACATACTGGCATGAAAATAATCTGCGCTCGTGGTTTAGGCAAAGTAACGGTTCACGTACATGGAGGGCCCTCTGAAAGACAGAGAGATTGACAGGGATGCACTTACTTGGATGAGGGTCAGCACCTTATCATGTACAATGGCTGGAGGATTGTTTTTGGGAAGGATGATTCGTACTAATACACCTTCTACAAAATCCTGGCTAGCAACCAGTATGTGAAAGCGATGGCCACAGTTTTTGACACATGTCTCAAGGACCTGCAAAGTCAAATAAGATGCATTAGAAATTACTTGCTTTTTCATTTCCTGATCACATTACAGTTGGTGTTTTAGAAATACTTATGCAACACCAATCCCAAATGATTCAGTTCGTTGGTTGCAAAAACTGCCCTTGGTGTTCACAGGCAAGTAGAAAGGTATGGTCGTTTCACATTTGGCCAATAAAATTATTCTTTTATTGCCAAATGTATTTGCATTGCCTTTCAATTAAATCAGACAATCTTCACAATATTTGTTTTTAAAAAACCCATGCCTATGAAAATTTAGTATTCTAGGTTAGAGATCACTCCTCTTTTCCAGGTATATCCTTGAGGTAAGGCACTTACCACAACAGCTTTCTCCCTTGCTAACACCCTCCTAATGGAACAGAACTTCCTGCCACTCAGTTTGTCAATAAAACTTAATTGGAAAGCTATCTCCACCGACAGATGGTAAAAAGCAAAGGTGAGAGAGAAAGTGAAGGCATAACTTTATGTATAGTCGAAGTAAAAATACCAAGTTTTTTTAATAAATAATTTTTTTTATTTTTCCGTGCATCCCTTCCACAGTCATCACCTACAATTCATATCAAATCATATATTTTAAATCAACTATATTTATATATATTACTATCATCATACCTCAACCTTCATTTGACTACAATTGTTTTTACATCCTTTTATATAAAATATTCCAGAAATAAAGCAAAACCACATAATGGCATTCCATTAGCTCTTCCCAATATCCTCCAGTAACATTACATCTTTATAACATGTTCTAAATAAAAATTGGTTATATTTAATAACAGAGTTTCTAATCAATCATTTAACTGTATCCATTATCACGTCATTTTATACATAATGCTCTAAATTTAACTAAATTTGACTTAATTTTTTATTATAAGCTTTCATTACATCAACCTGTGTCTTTCCAGTAATAGTGCAGTCTTATGTCTCTTGCCATTTGTGGCATTAATATTCTGGTTATTTCCTTAGTAAGTTTTGTATGGACTTCTCTTCGCAACTTATTGCTTATTGCATATCTTGTATAAGCTCGAAACCCTCCATCTGCTTCTTCGATCAGCTTATCTTTGGTTATCACTAGTGCTTCTGACAAAATTACTCTCCTTGGTTCCATCAATTCTTTTCTCTTTTCTTCTTCTATACTTTGAAATCTGGGGTAGAGTTTCAGTCCATCTATCTCCCCCTTTCCATATTCCATTCTTTCCATTTCCGACCACGCTCAGTTCACTGTCAGTATCAACAATTTTCTTGTCTCTTTGTTTATTTTTTCCTTCAGTTTTTAGAACTCTTAACTTCCATTTTCTTCCTTTGATGAGCATCCTCAATTTTTCCATCAAATTTTACTGTTCTACGATCTATGTTCTCCAATCTCTTCTCAATTTTCTGTGTTACTTCTAATAATTTTTGAATTTCAAACATAATCTTTTGCAATGTTAAGGTTTCTTTTTCACGTTGCGCCATTCTTCCAACTTGTAAACACTGCCACTCTGGAATTCAAAACTTTTTTTATTAAATTTAAAGCAAGTTCATTTATAATCTTTCAAGACAAGGCTTGAAAGATTATAAATCTTTCACTCCACTCCAGCTGCCAATAAAGCTCCCGAAGAGCACCTGTATAAACAACCCATGCTCTTCTCACTATCACTCTCTGTAAACAAGCTGAGGAACCTTGAAATGCAAAGTCAAATGATCAAAGAGAAAAAAGAAAAGACAATATTTCCAAGTCTTCCAAGCCTCCAGCCTCCAAGTGGCAGTGTTACTTCCTTTCCCTCTGTTATTACAGCCCTCTTTGTATTGTTTTTATATCTTCTTTATATTCCAGGCTTAAAGAAAACAAAATTCTTAAATGGAGCAAAAAAACAAAAAACCCATACAATCCAGCATTATAAAAATAAGGAAAAAGATTTTAATCCATAGGTATAAAAAAAAGAATATAAAAAGTAGTAGAAGAAAAACTAATCCGTTCAATTTAAAGAATAGGAAACATTTGCAAAAGTTCCATTCGTAAAAGAAAATTTTTAAAAAAGTATAACACACTGTCTAATGTAGCTTAATTTTGCCGCTTGTTCTCTTCTGTTTTCAAATTAATTTAGCTTTAATTTTTTGGGGGGTAGTCTCTTTTATAATAATATTTCCTCACCAGATGGACAGACTTTCTCTTTCCGTTTTCCTCCCATTCTGGAGCTGTCCCAACTTCAGCAGCTTCAATGGCTGCGCTTCTGTTTCCAGCAAAAAGAGATTCTCCTGGATCAATCAGGGACTTTGCGGTGTCCCTGAGATCAGCAGAACGTACTCTTTCCTGTCACCATCTCTTCGGGACGGTTTAGGTCCAAAAGGACCGTCCAGTGGCAAAAGTATCAACTGCGATCTTGGCGCTCCAAGATTGCATGTCGTGTCGTTGCAATGTCAGCGCCTCCTTCCCAAAATACCAAGTTTTTGAAGTGTAAAAAAATCAGACCAAGATAGAACATAGAATACAGCTGGAAGGTCTTTTAGTTAATCCTTGCTCAAGCAAGAGACCTATACCATTTCAGATAGTGATGGAGTATCCAAAACCTCTGAAGGTAAGCTGTTCCATTGACTGATTATTCTCACTGTTAGGAATTTTCTCCTTAGTTCTAGGTTGCTCCTCTCCTTGGTTAGTTTCCATCCATTGTCTTGTCATTTGGAGTTTTGGAAAATAGTTTAACCTCTTCGTGTTTGTAGGAACCCCTCAAATATTGGAAAATCACTTCAGAATTTTTCCCACTTTTAATTATTCTGGTTTCTTATTGCTATTTTCTCCCTAAAAAAAGTCAGTTTGTTTTTCAATTGAATTGTATAGCTTATATGTTATATTAAAGGTGGGAAAAATTCTGAAATGATTTAACTTGATCTGATTTCTTTTACATTTCAAAAACTTGGCATTTTAACAGGGTGTGTAGGTTTTTTATATTCATTGAAACTAAGAAAACTGCACCATACTCACTGTCAAAGCCAGCATCACTTCATGGAAATTCTTATTTCCCACAATCCTTTTCTTTATGGCTCGAAAAGCATCTTTGGGCCTAACAATAGCAAAGGTCAGATAATAAAATACTAACATTACTTAAAAATAAAATAAAAGTACTAACATTGAAAAACGAACAAAATATATGCTTGCAATTTGCCAGACAATAAGAATCAGGTTTGTTCATCTTCAATTAGACCCTGGAATCTTCCAACCAAAGCACTAAAAGAGCAGCCTCTTCTTCACAATACATTAAACGACTCTCCTCCCTCCACAAGACACATATTTAAGACTAAACTTAACGAAGATATCTGAAAATGAGGCACTAAAAAGCAAAAGCAGATAATTTGAATTATTTAAAAAAAATTAACAATTAACATTAACAGATCTAAAGAAAAATACATTAACGAGATAGTTAAGAATATTTTTATTTTTTCAGATTTCAGGAAGATTGATTTTACCCTTGTGCAAAGAATTACAACTTAGTAATGGAATTTTGGGCACTGATAACAAAAACAGTGTTTGAGCATCACAAGACTCAGCGTTGAGCTGTTATGTTTTATATCAATGCTCCCTGTTACACATATCACTTTTCCTGAGCTGGGTGTGTCTTTAAGGATCTCAGAAAATGTGCAGCCTAATGCAAAATCATCAGTGAACCTATCCAGAAAATGACTATTGACTTCAGCACTTGTTTCCTTACCCTTCTTCTGTCTCATTAATGATGTCACATATTTCCATGTTACGAGCCCAATCTTCATTCTGTAAGGAGCCATCAGTAGCTTTCTCTGCGGAAATGGAAAAAATAGCAATCTCTACTACTCAATTTTCTAGGCTTATAGTAGCCATTGCTGACTCTGAAGTTTATATATCAAATACACATAAACTTGTTTGAAAAAAAAATAGTATAACAAGTTCATTACAACTGGTAAGAATATTAACAGTGCACCAGGGAATAAATACAATTCAATTAAATGAATGCATTCTCAAAACAAATTTACTCCTGAGGTCTGCTGATAGAGCCAGATTTTGATAGGTTTCCTGAATCTTAGCAGTCAGAGTTTAAGAAAAATGTTTCAGAGAAGGGGAGGAGCAGTTGAGAAAGTACACTTTCTCAGTCCTTTCTGATGGCATTCCCTGAGAGAGAGAAACCACATGGACCCTACTTTTTCTGATGGCATTGTATGGACAAATACAAGTGGGAGACAGTCCTCATGACATTTATCTGTTATACAGAATCATACAGAGCTTTAAGGGTGACAACCATCATCTCAAATTGCACTCAAAAGTCAACTGGTCACCAGTGCAATTTTCAATGTACAGATACACCCATAACTATTTAAACTGCTCCATTCTGGACCAATTACAACATTCTAATGGTCTTCAACAACAGCACCGTGCACATGCAACAGAGCAAATGAGCCAAAGTTTGAATGGCTATAATAAGACATTCTGTTCCAGGAAAGTTTGCAGTTGGTGCATTAATTGGAGCTGCCCACCTAGACCAGAATGGGCCAACACACCCCAGCCAATTCAAAAATTCAATTTAATTATTTAAAATAATTAAAAAGTATTTTAATTTTTGTCATTCACATTACATTTTGTTCCCCCTTTTGCATTTTTTTCTTTAATGATTCTATTCTACCATTTCTTTGATATTAGTGTAACTCTTGTCCTGCAGGAGTTGGCTGTGGCGAGTTTTCCTAGATGTCATAGACACAGCTTCACTTGCTCCTCAAATTGGAGCTTTGAGTCATAAAGGAGCTGTTCAGAATAATCATGATCTTGTCCAAAATTAAAGATGGAATATCTCTTGGAAAAAAATCACTAAATATAGGGCCCATTTTCCTTAGGACGTACACCAGGGACAAAGCCAGTCAGTTACGGTGCCTAGTAATCACTTTGTTTACTCCCATCATACAGACACTATGTATTTTGCTACTAGTCTTTAGTCAAGTGGTATCTCTTTAAAAATGCTTTTTAATTATAACAAAAGAAAAATCCCAAATACTATAATAAAGTGATACTACAAAAATCAAAACAAAATAAGAAAATGAACAGAAAAGGTTTATGTATTAGAACAATTATATAAATTATATACAGAACATAAACACTTAAACAATAATTAAACCTTGACCACACACTAATAAGGCAACTGTGAGCCTCCACCCCAGTCATTAGTCATGTGGCCTAATGCTGAAAGTCCTTTGATAGGTTTCTCCTTGTTCGCTTATCCAGCTTTTGGTTATAATAGTCTATTCAATAGCTGCCACCTCCAGAGATGTGCAGGCTCAGGAAAAAACTTGATTTCAGAGGTGTTGTAGAGGCAGTAAGGTAAGGGTGTCAAACTCAAGGCCCTCAGGCCAGATCCGGCCCTCAGGGTGCTTAGATCTGACCTGCGGGACAGCTCTGGAAACAGTGAAGGATTGCCATGCAGTGCCAGTGAAAACGGAGTATGTGGCCCTCTGGAGCTCCGTTTTTGCTGGCAGAGGTTTGCAGGAATCTGTCCCAGCTGAAAACGGACCTTGGGAGCCTGTTTTTGCTGGCAGAGTGCCTGGGCCAGCACAGGCACCCGCGGCACAAGTCACATCAAGCTGGCCACGCCCATCCTGGCCACGTCCACCCCAGACCCCCAAGCTCAAACACAACCCTGATATGGCCCTCAATGAAATAGAGTTTGACACCCCTGCAGTAAGGAGTTGACAACATGTAGCTGCACTCTGCCACTACTTCTGTAGTACGTCCTGAACTCAATATTTCCTGAGCCTGAATGACTAGATTCACACTGTAGAAAAAGACATGGTGCCAACTGAATCTAAATCATCTTTGCCTATTTTAATAAAATACTGCACAATTCTAATCTATGAATGATTCTTCAGAGAAATAATGTACAAAATAGTGTCTTGTACTGTAGGCAGTTCTTGTTCTCTCCACAATGTTGCTAATGCCAGGATGATGACCAACAAAGCTATTAGTGCTGTTTAACCCTGCAATCAGTGCCGTCTCAATTGCTTTTGGCAAACAGATAAATTTAAGTTCAGGGGAGAGTACTGCCGGTATTAAAAAAACAAAAACACTACCACCATTACCATCAAAAAGTGGATGTCTAGACTTAAACCAGTACTAGCTGGTAATTATAAGTAATTAGCTAATGGAAGAGGGTTAAAGTTATCCACAGTAATACAAGAAAGCAACAAACAGGACAAATGAAAGACAAAGAAATTTCACTCAGAAGAGCAGATTAAAAATGCCACCTATTTTTCCTGGGTGAATTTCTGTAATAAGGTGATAATAACAATCTAGCACCAGTTATTTAACAAACTGAAACACTTAGAAGGTGCCAGAGCTTCTTGGGATTTCCAAGGTATGGTTCAGTTTTTAAAACAATGAATACTCTTAACTGAAAGTTGTGAAACCAATGTTTAAAATATAATATCTATATAAGAGTGATACAGTGAAGATCTTTCTCCTGTCTGCTTCTGGGCAAATTACTAACATTCTGGTCCCAGGTCTTTTGAAGTCTAGAGGCCCTGAAGTCTACTTTTTAACTGATTGGCTAAGGTAATAAAACAATACTTGTAAGAAGCCACTGGTAGAAATTATTAAATTATTAGGGTGTTGAAACGGAGTGTCACAAATATGCTGTTACCAAGCAGCTCTGTCCCTCCATCATCACTCAGGTTTAATTTATCAGATTTAGGTACCACTTGATTTCACAATACACATAATAGTGGGGTTAGTACCTGGATACATAGTCCTGTATAAAAATTATCAATTGAAACTGAATTTCAACACTCTGAAAATTCATGGTTAAGGAAATGAGTAGGTCTCTGATTCTAGATCATCTTTTCTCACTGGGATTCTTCCATGAAACCCCAGGGTTCTGGGACAGGTTGTTTGAAAAAACAAAGAGGTTTGTTTTTTTTAACTTCATGTTTTAAACAATACTAATTGTAGGTATAATTTTCACCTAGGAGTTCCCTGACATCTGCAAATCCTGAAGGATATATAAGCTGAGGAAGACTGTTCTAGATGTACTTTCTTTGAAAAAATAAGAATACAACATACTTGTGCTTCTGTTGCTCGCTGTCAGCAGTATAAGGTAGTCCAGACTAAGAAACAAAGCTATTTTTTAAATTAAGACTGGTATCTTAAGATGGGTATTGAGACAGAATATTACAAATCTGAATGTGCTTCTCCATTTTTTCTATTAATGTGAATTAGGGAGACATCTGTCTGAGAAATTCTCTTAACACTTCCACATCATCAGGGCTTAAGTAATGTTTCTGGACTGGAATGGCCTGTCTCTAATGGTCTCTTCATTGCTAAATTCCAATCTAGATTACAGCATAGTGTTGTGAATCTGCCCTTGAAACAAAACAAGTAAATTACAGTTAGTGCAAGAAGAGACAATAAAGCTATTATTAAACAATTTTCAGAGATTACATAACTCTCTATTGTTACCGATTAGATTATATGGCTTTAACAATGATGTTCAAGATCCTTGTTTAAAATATTTGAGCCATGATGTCATTATGCAACTATTTTATTTATTTATAGGTGAGCTGTAAAATTTTCAAACAATGTATGTATGTATGTATGTATGTATGTATGTATGTATGTATGTATGTATGTCCTTGCCAAGCCAATATATCTTATTCTGTGTTCTTACATGCTTTATTGGAACAATAATTTATTGGCCAATTTTTATAAGACTTCTGTAAGTATAATACTGAAAATTGGTAATCACTGTATATTAAATTGTGAACCATTTTTCAGTGTTATGATTATCAATAATACAAAAAACTGGAAATAAATTAATATGATAGGACAAATTGAGCTATTAGATACAAAAATTTAGGCTGAACATCTTAAAGATATTCCAGAAGATATTTATTTACAGGAAATGCAAAATGGGACAGAAATAATTAATTAAACAAAAATGGAAATACGATGTCCACCTACATAATCTCTGGGAATAAACTAACACAAAATCCACTAGGTGAATTTAAATGATAGTGGATATAAAATAATTGAGTAAAGCCTAATATATTTTTAGTTTATAAATAAAAATTAAAGTTTCCTACAAGTCAGGCTCAACTTAGAGTGACTATGAGACACACTTATAACCCCCCTTGATTTTTCTGTCTGGCTTATAGTTCTGGAATTTCCTGCCGATCTCCTATCAAATTACTAATTGGATCTGACCACAACTATAGTCAACTAGGAATTGCCATCTGCTGAAAGTTCTTTTTAATATACAGTTTTGATGAAAAATATATAAAAAAACAGATAACATACTTCATTTCCAGGATTTAGCAGAACATATCTCATTTTTAAAAATTGTCATTCCCACTGTTAACACATTAGTGTCCTTTCTGAAGAGAGAACTGCCACTTCTAGAAACAACCTCTTCCATACAAGTCATTGCCACCAAAATGGGGTTTTCTCAATTATCCCTAAAGACATGAGGGCCAATAGTTGCTGAGTTTGTATTTGGATATATTTTGAAAACAGCAATTTATAGAATAATAGGGTTGGAGGAATACAATGGAGTCCAATTCCATGCCCAAAGCAGGACTCCTCATACCATCTTGGATAAATGGTTCTACAATATTTTCTTGAAAACTTCTACCCCTATGAGGGTCCATGGAGCTCCCGTAACTCAGGAACCAAGCTTGTTTGCTCTCCAAAACTGAGAAATACAGAACATCAGATAGCAAGGCAGATTGCCCATGGCAAACTTATATCTTAGCAACTTCTTCCGTTTCCTTATGACTGTGCATTATGCTGCAAATGAAAACCACTGGCCTGATTCTATCTCATTCTATGGTTCTCATGTATGACTGTGTTGAACATTCTGTTGAATACTTCTTTTGATTGAGACCTCATAAAAGAGCCTCATCCTACCAAATAAATACTTTTTCCCTCTCATATATCAATGAAATCGATTTTGAGTTATAATATTTCATAGGTTTTTGCATTTGAAGTGGGAAAAAAACAAGGACAACTGAATGTTACTCCTTTTATGAAGCTTTTCTAAGACACAAGGCCCTCAATAGTGATGTGAATTATGTAGATGCTAAATTCAGCTTCAGAAGCTGTAATTAGAAGCATCAACAACTCAGAAGTCTAACCCAGGCCACACAATTTTTATATGGAATGAACAAAGCAGTTTAAATCTCACCTGACAACAACAATTCTAGCTGGAAGACAACAAAACTAATTGTGCCAGCAAATTCAATATTCAAACTAGCAATATGTGTGAGTATTGTCTGAGTTCTTACAGGCAAACTCAGCAAGATATATGTTACCCTGCTGCCAGGATGTGGAGATTCGGCACATCATTAACGTGTTAAGAATTATCGGTTTTGAAGGTTTCAGATTCCAAGGACTCCGATATCATCAAAAACTATTATCTATTTTTTATCCACTAAAGACAGAAGGGGATTTATCAGTTAATGCTATTAACATTTATTACAGTCTAAGCACACTTTAAAATATGGAGTTTAAATTATATTTCAAACATACAATTATATTGGGTGAAAACCGAGTTGAATAAAATGAAGCAAAGCATGGAAAACAGTGGAACAGATTTATATCTTATTTGGTTTCAGTCGATTTTAATGTCACTAATCCACTCTAAGTCTAGATTTTACCCAGCATTATTAACAGCATATACGTGCATGTGAATTTAGGCAAAGAGCTTATTTGGAGAGTTTAGATTTCAATCAGAAATATGTTTTAGTTAGGTCACATTGGTTTTTTGTGAATGAAACAGATCCTGATGCCAGAGGGATATATATATATACCTGTAGAATAGTGAGATTACTCTTCTGTGATATGCTTTTTACTTACAAAACTATATGCTTGCATGGTTACATAATACATATAATACACATCCACCAACCCTGGCAATGTCTCCTCTTTTCAAACAAGCTGACATAAGAAATCCGAGATCAAGAAGTGAATCTTGTCATGCCTTAATTTTTAAAGAGTACCTACAGCATTTTTCCTCCAGATAAAGGAAGGGTTTAGGAAACAATGTCACTATTTTCTCACTCAATAGACATTCTTGACCATTGTATAGCATTCACTGCTGAAACCTGTCCTAAAATCCTTAAACTTAATTTAGAAGATGTTCATAAAAATAAGGGGGGAAAATAAGGAAAAAACACCATTAAGTGTTCGGAGTTAAACATTAACAAAGATTAAACCCAGCTACCCAGGCCTAGCTAAGGACAAAGGATGCACAATAGTTTCATAAATGTTAACTTTGTGAACTCCTAAGTCAGCAACAGAAAATATGTAACTCTGCAAACATTTGAGAACTACAGTTCCCAGGAGCCCCAAGCTTGTATGATGAAAGATGAGCAAGGATTCAAGATGTGATTCAGCAACAGCAGCAAGGCCACAGGTTCCTTATTAGTGACTTAAATGCTGTGTCTGCTAAGTACAGGGCAACCTTGGCAACTTTAAGACTTGTGGACTTCAACTCCCAGCTTGCTGGCTGAGGAATTCTGGGAGTTGAAGTCCACAAGTCTTAAAGTGGCCAAGGTTGGAGACCCCCCCTGTGGTGAGAGATAGATTTTCCCTCTCCTTAGGACAGGACTTTAATTTGTTTAGTACTCCGAACAGCCAGTTAGTGTCTCCCACTCAATGCCATCCCTATGGGACAGACTAAAAAAATTCCATGCACCCAGGAGAGATGGAAGTTGTAGTCTACTTCATATGGACGGCCTCTGGTCTCTGGGAAGAAAGCATTTAGGCCTCGGCCTATTCAGTGTTTGCCAATTCGTGCTTTGCGACATTGAGCTATTTCCTCAAACTCGAAAGCAACTGAAGGACAGGCTTCCAAGATCTTTTCAACATTATCTCAACCGTTCGCAGGCAGCCCACTGTAAGAGAACGACCAGTCTTCCAGGGGGCGTGACGTTCGCAGCAGAGGCGCGTCCCCTTTAAATAAGCAAACTTTATCCCTTCTTCGAGACCCCCCGCCATACTTTTACCGCGACAGGATTGGCTTACAAGGCCTACCCCCAAGAACCCGCCTCCTCGATCGTACCTCATTGATCATTACGAACTGTCCGTCAGAAGCATATCCTATCCCCATCCGCCAGAAAAAAAAACTAAAGCCCGCCTCCGTGGTTTATAAACTCCGCCCCTCCCGCGGTTAGACACTGAACTTGAGGTAAAATCCAGAGTTTAAAGCTACAGTCACCCGAGCGATCGAAGTCGGGAAACACGCGGGGGGGGGGTTGTTAGAGGAATCAGGAGGCCACTTACCAATGCGCTGTCCGACCTGAGAGCTAAAAGGGTTGCCGAGAAGAAACTCCATCACTGCCTAGAGTAGACGACCGCCACGGCTTAGCAGAGATCAGCTGACAGGGCCACGGGTGGGTCACGTGGCCGCTCTGAGCTGCAAGGGGCGTGCTTGGTTTATCGCTCTTGCGACACACCCCGTAACGTAAGCGCCTCCTTTGCGAGCGGAGTTTAAGGCGGAAATCTGATGGAGGAAGCGGGTTGGCGGGATGTGGGCACAGCCCGCTCTTAAACATCTTCGCCGGCAATAAGGTTTTCTAATTCCGGGGGAGGCATTTCCGTGCAAGCACGCTTGGGAGTTGTAGTCTTTTCCCCATGGGTAGTCTTTTCCTTGCTGTAGGGAAAGGTTTGTTACCTTGTGACAGCGAGCGGCGACGATTGGGTGATGCCATAATTATAGGTCGCAAATGGGACCCAAGCCGCTCGCAGTCATCGCAGTATTGGTGGCTTCCGCGGAGGGCCTGCTCGGGAGAAAGCAGCTTGAACGGACTCCATTTCGCTCTGCCGCAATCAAAGCCGTATGAAACCTATCAGTAAAAAGGCGCTTTGCTGCCACTAGGGCCGAGCTGAGGTATCTTCCGTTCCTCGATGTCTTTCGGTACTTTTTCAATAGCAACGTTTAGATCATTATAGATGTCAAAGTGGTCGGACTGTTTTCCCCATCCAAACCCATATGTTCAGGGAGTTATTTGTAGCTTTCTACATACAATTAAATACTTGTATCAACTCAGTGCAGGAAAGAAACAACTGTTGAGTTGACTCAGTAAAGCATTGAGAAAATTTTTGGATTCTCATCCTGATTCAAGTGAATTTAAGATTATAAATTTTAAAAGTACATTTGCAACCTCCAACTATATGCAAAGCTATTACTCATATTCTAAATCTACTGGAATACTGGAGTAACATGTTTGTATTTATATCAGAAAAGTTATATGTACAGTATACATATGCAAAATGCACTCAACTGAAAAATAATTTTAAATTTGCAATATTGGATTACTGATGATTTCAAGGTATTTTGCATCAAGAGCATAGTACTAATATTTCAGTATTATCTAGATGTCATTTAATGTGGAATAAAAATAATGCCTCAAAAACAAAGTATCTTTCTTGCTAATTTTAATAGCAACAATTTGCTTGATATGCTGATGCATATGGGGACAAATGTATTCATTTTAAAACAATCAAGCTTGTGTCAAAAACAATGTAAGAATATATCTACATGTTGATCTGTTATAGGCTCAAGTTCTCATATTTTAAGTAAATACAGTACAGGTAGGCCTCAACTTAGAACCACAATTGAGACCAACATTTCTGTTAAGTGAAATTTGCTCCATTTTATGTTTCTGGCCATAGTTGTCAAGCGAATTACTCAAGTTGTTAAGTTAGTAATATGGTTGTGTTGTGGCCCGGCAGGAGCCGTTGGCCACCAGGTGGCGGCACAGCATTGGATCAGAGGGAGTGTTCAGGGAAACACTTGGGAGTGGTTGCAGGATGCACCCCGTTGAAGGGTTACTCAACGGAAGGAACAACTGAGTATTTACAGGAGATGATTGTGAGCAGCTGTTGCTCATTGGGATCCTCTCCTGAGTATAAAGAGACTGCTGGTGCCACGCCCTAGTTGCAGAAGTCAACTTTCCGTTCCTGTTCTAGTGATTGTTCTTGTTCGCGTTCACAAACCGAGAGAAGCCAACTTGGATAAGTGGGTTGAGATAAGAGAAGCCGGGTTTGAATTGGGGTGTGACTTTCTGCCGGAGCTATTATCTTTGTTTATTTGGGCTTGCAGCCAACAAGAGCTTGGACTGATTAAAAGAAACCTTTTTAGTTACGTGGCTTTTGGCTTTCATTCCTGATGGAGAAGGGGGGTCAGAACAGGTTGTTAAGTGAATCTGGCTTCCCCATTGATTTTGCTTAGCAAAAGGTTGCAAAAGATAACCACATGATCTTGGGACATGGCAATAAGTATGAACCAGCTGCCAACCATCTGAATTTTGTTCACATGATCACAGGAATGCTTCAAAGGTCGTAAGTGAGAAACGATCAAATAATTTTTTCAGTGCCATTTAACTTTGAACAGTCACTAAATGAACTGTTGTAAGTTGAGGATTACATGTACTATGCTTTTCCACTTCATGACCCACTTCATGACCCAGACTGTTATAAATGCCACAAACCTCACATGAAAATTATGACAAACTCATTTACAACTAAAAAGTTTATAACAATAGTTTCTGGTAGATACACTGAATTTCGAACTGTAATAACCTTGAAGCAAAATAAAAAAGGTATAGAATACAGAGTCGTACAGGACATATATATGTGATTATCATACAAGGATAGTGTCATATGGATGGCAGAGAGATAGAAAATTTTCTGATACTGAAAAACATGTACATGAATTAATAGGAGGAAATAGAAATGAATCAAAATGAAATTTCCAGGTATAAAAACATTTATGTACGATAGCAAGGACGTTAAATACAGGAACTAACAGATATATAAAAAACAAAAGCATAAGTTCAAAACTTTTCACTATCAAATATGACAAGTTACGTATTATACAAATGTGTACAGATATTAAATAAAGGTACATCAAGTACATTTGTATGTTTAAAAACATCAAGTCTACTACATTGCAAATGGTAATTGTGAAGCAGATCTTCTATTTAATCCTGGATGCTGAAAACTTAAGCTACATATAATGTTTGTTTATGAATTAAAACCTTTAATTGATAGATTATTTCAGCCACTGGAAGAAGGCAATTATTTCTGACTCCCCTGTGCTTATCTTCTGTGTTCTGATTTTTTCTAGCTTTTATGATACATCTGTGGGTGGGATAACACAGGACAGAGGGACATAAATACAAATTGCCTTTCTTCATTTGTAGGAGAGCCATGTTAGTCTAGGCTGGCAAAAAAACAACAGGTGTTTGATAGCGCCAACTAACAAATTGTATTAAATGAAATAAGCTTTTGAAAGATGTAGCTCATTTGGTCAGACTGTTTATGCCTTTTAATTACATTTTTAGTTGGAAAAGGGGCTCAATTTAAAGACTTTCCACTCAATGCTGAAAACTCAAAGAACTTTCCAAAAGCAGTGATATAGTGTAAATGCAATTAAATGATTCTGCTAAATGTCCAGTTCTAAAGATTGAGATTCTTTATAGTTCATATGTTGCTTATATATCTGCACAACTTTGAGTCAGTGATTCACAGCAAGTTTTTTAGAACTAGCTTGCCATTACCTGTTTCCTAGGGCTGAGAGAAAAATGACTGGCCTAAAGTCACCAGCTGGCTTCCATGTTTTACTGGTTTCTAGGCTGATGCCTTAATCACCTAATCACTATCGCAATTGGTTCTTATATTGCTGGTAGCACTGGTCAAATAATATCAAATCTGAATAGGTTTTTAAAATCTCAAATCATTAGTTCTTAGCACATAGTACTTTAATCATCAGGTTTAAATAGGGGATAGGAATGGGGACAGACGCTTCATTATTTAGAGGAAGTTTAAAATGAAATGATGGAAAACCAGTCAATTGAATAGTCTACCAGTTAAGTGATGTATATTTTGGATTCAAAATGATTTCATTTCCTGTTGTTTTAAGATTTTTAAATCCTATGTGATAAGATTATATGACATAGAATTTTAGCATTAGTTTTATCCGGTTTTTTAATCACACTATAAGGACACATCAATTCACAATCACAGTTGGAACCAGAACGTCTATCACTAAGCAATATGGTGGTTACATGAGTCATCATGTGACCACATCTAATTTTATTATCTTTTTGTTGTGATCATTAAGCGATTCTGGCTTCCCCCATTGATTTTGCTTGTCAGAAGCCAGCTGGACATGTCACAAATGGCGATACATTATCCTGGGATGCTGCAATCCTCATAAATATATGAAGGTCAAAAAACATCCAATTGTAACAACTCTGTAATGGTCTTAAGAGTGAGGACTGGACATATGGCACTTTTTCACCTTGTAACTTTGAACATTTTCTAAATGAATGGTTGTAAGTCATGGACTAACTGTATTGCTATTTTCATATGGATACTTTTTAAAAAATTCAAAATGTCCTTTTAAAGAATACTTGTTATAACTTGAAGTTCAATTATGACAAGTGTGTTAGATTATAAAACCATTACAGGTTAGTCCTTGACTTACAACCATTTGTTTAATGACATTTGAAATTATAACCGCACTGAAAAAAGTGGCTTATGACCATTTTTCATGCTTATTGTCATTGCAGTAACCCTGTCGTCATGTAATCAAAATTTGAATGCTTGACAACTGGCTCATATTTATGATCGTTGCAGCATCTCAAATCATGTGATCACCTTTTGTGACCTTCTGACAAGCAAAGTCAATGGGGAAGCCAGATTCACTTAAAGAGTTACAGTGATTCACTTAACTATGGCAGGAAAAGTCATAAAATGGGGCAAAAGTAACAACTCTTTTTAGTCTCAATTGTGGCCATAGATTGAGGACTACCTGTATATGTTTTCTGAACAATAGTAGTAGAAGGATTTTTTTGTGTTCTAATTAAAACTATATACAAAAATATATACCCAAAAATATAAATTCCTATATTAAAAATGCCATACTTAATCCTATGGAAGTGCTTTCCCAGAGAAGAACAGATTCAGAGCGCTAAATCCTATGCTGAGACATTAGATTTCCTCTTATTATTAAGCCCTTCAATATCACCTTCCTAACTGCCTGTACATGAGCATTAGCACCATAAGAGAAAAAAGACTATTTGTTGGTAATGAATGTAAATTGGAATTTGCGTACTTGGGGAACACTCTTGCCTTCTATGACAATATTTTTAACTACTGTTTCAGAAGTCACTATCTAAATGTGAAGAATTTGGAGCTTGGAATTGTAGGGTAAAGATCTTCCTTTTGTCTCGTAATCCGAACACTGTGTGAAATATTACATTTCTATACTGTAATTACTACTGCTATATATGTTTTGAAAATGATTTGGAAGAATTGCTTCAAAACTTGAATGAACATGGATTAGCACCTCACTGCTACTTATAAAAACTTTGGAGAAAAATATAGCTGCTTTAAGCAGTTGCATTATTGCATGATTTGATTTCATTCACTCCCAAATTTGTATGTAGCGCTGACAATGCAACATTTAGCAAGAATTCCTAATGTCAGAACAGTTATTTATGGATAGGACAATCTCCCACCCCCCCATCATTAATTTGAACATGTCCATTATTTTTTCTCCATTCCATTAGAGAAGTACTATTTTATAGCAATAGCAAAAACATTTAGACTTATATACAACCCCATAGCTCTTTATAGCACTGTCTGGATGGCTTACAATGTTGAAGCATTATTTGCATATTGCCCTAATAGTCTAGGCCCTCATTTTACCGTCCTTCAGAGGATGGAAGGATGAGTCAACCTTGAGTCTGGTGACATTCAAACTATTTTATAGCAATAGCAAAAACATTTAGACTTATATACAACCCCATAGCTCTTTATAGCACTGTCTGGATGGCTTACAATGTTGAAGCATTATTTGCATATTGCCCTAATAGTCTAGGCCCTCATTTTACCGTCCTTCAGAGGATGGAAGGATGAGTCAACCTTGAGCCCTGTCAGGATCAAACTCAATGCTGTGGACAGAATAGTTTGCCTGCAACACTGCACTTTAACCACTGCATCACAGGGCTCTGTTTTACATTTCTAATTAAAATAATTCAATGTATCTTTTCCTTTTACATTAAGGCTGATATATAAAAAAATTACTAAACTCTAGTTATATAGAAACAGAGTTAAGAAAACATCTTCCAATTCTTGCAAATTTAAGTTCTGGACTTTTTTCATAAAATCAAGTTAAACAGGTATTGACAAAAATCTTTAAAATTCTGTAGGTTGAGACTTGAAGAACGCAATATATATGTATACACACCAGTAGCATGGCAGTAGATTACTTTCCACAGTCGCTTTTTTTGTCAAAGACCGGGCATTATGTAGGCAATATTATCCAATGTGTTTGACTGAAAAGACAGAAACATTAAATTAATTCAATATGTATGTTATAAAGTGAAACACTTTTTGCTTGAATGGAATATTTAAGGAAAGCCCCATCAAAGCCAACTTGTGGTTTCCCAGCCCCACTTCTGCATTGCCCAAATTGACAACAAATCTTTAATTTTTGGTTCAGTATAATTTTTTCTATTTGTTTACTGTGTTTTAAAACAATGGCTGAAATAGATGTGACAATTTCCCACTTCATATAATACTCACCTGCATATCTCTCCCACTGTCTCTACCCTTTGCGCTGCCTGCCTACCTACTTCCTGCCACCTGCTATCCACATCACCCAGCCCTGTCCATTGCCACTGCATCTGCAGCACTGAATGCAACTACTGCACTGAATGGGGTCTCTGCGCCCTGCACAACTGAGTTTTAAGACAAAATAAGACAAGAGCTTGGTAACTAAGTGTAACTTACCAAAACATGTTTGGGGCAGCCATTTAGCTCAGGTAACTGAGATGTTAGACAAGTCAAAGGGCCCAGAGCACAAATAATTGAATCCAGGAGTACTGATAAACTTCCTGATACGGCTACCATTCCCTGGGAGGCCACAAAGGAATGAGAAAAGTTGTTAATTTAATATCAGTATTAATGTATCCTTCCTATTTTAAGTCCACAATGATTTTCTCAAATACAACAGCCCTATTTTGCTCTGTGAAAGAATTTTATAGAGGAATCACATACAGAGAAATGAATGAACAAGAATTCTGCTGAAAGCAAGAAAGGCTATATTCTGTACCACACATGTATAAGATAGCATACACAAAATGTAGCACTTCATAAAATACAAAGTAGATTCTCAAGTATGCACTGGGTGTGCAGTTAGCAAATTGAGTGCACTGTACTTCAGCAGGCTAAAATTTTATTTTTAAATGGACAGTCTTTGTACTTCCTTCCTCTTTAGGCAGCTTCTTAGTATTCTACAGGGTAGTTCATAAATTAGGTTAGAATATCAGTGAGTCAGAGGTTCTTTCCTCCAGCATTTTGTTTCTTAGACAACCAGGTGCTTCTGGGATGTTCTCAATAGGAAGTGGAGAAAATAGCCTACTTCCAATATTTTCCCTACCAATTCAATATTTGGAGGTTGGAGATTACTTTACATCTCCAAGGTTACCAGTTTTTGCTATAATCTGTCCTTCATTAATTTTTGTTGGTATCCATTGGTATCCAGTGTCATATCCTGTCAATGCTTTAATGTTTAATTAGATGCTCTATGACAAATATGTTCTAATTCACCCTCCAATTGCCTTTACCAGATAAGTTCAGATCTTTGGATGAGGTAATTTTTCATTCTATATAATGACAATTATTCCTTCTTTGTTTTCTTCTTTTTAAGATAATTTCAGTTTTAAACAATCAATGGCAACTCTGAAATATGTACTGTAGGTTAGAAACTTCATGATTTATAAGAAGCAGAAGTAGTGGGATATCAACCCTAATTCAATAATGCTGAATTTTGTAGTTTACAGTACAATCTTCTACAATATAGCATAATCCAATTTTTTTTCAGGATTGCAATTGCCATTAACATTAACTATTCACTACAAGAGGTGGGGCTGGAATATTCAACTCCAATTTTTGTAGGTGAGTTAGATTTATTTCAATGGTTTATTTTTTAAAATGAAAACTCATTACGAAAAGTTGACATCTGCAGTACAATCTTAGGATACTGAAAACTATAGCTGGAGGCCACATGTGATCTAGGGACTATCCATCCATGATCTGACTGAAGAACAATATTATCAGCCCTACTAGGTAGACTAGATGAAGAAATCAACTACAGAGGAAAGGTAATACTACTTTTATTAAGATTGGCTATAATAATAGAATCATGCAAGTCTGATTGTGCTTCCTTGTTTAAGTCTGAATTAGGGAAATACCTATCTGAACTGCTTCCAAATGTCTGCGGTAGACTTAAAATGTATTTCAACTCACTATTGCCTGACAAAAGATCTTGTATATCTTTTCTTTATTTTCTACAAATATTAAAGAGGAATGAAACTGCATAATAGCTCTTGTACTTACTTCAGTCTCCTGCAGCCTGTGGCCAATAAGACTCAGAGACTCTCCCAGTAACTGCAGATGTGCAGCTACATCAATGGGATCTGTCTCAGGAACCTTCACTGGTGAAGAGGATAATACCATCGTGCTAGTTGGGGACTTTTTATGGGGTGAAGGCACGGTTGTTAGGGAAGCTGAAAACAGACAATAAAAGAGTTTTAAAATTGTACACCAATGGTGAACCTATGGCACATGTGCCAGAGGTGGCACACAGGGCCCTCTTTGTGGGCAAGCACACCGTTGTCAGCTGCTCTTCTGGTTTCCGGCGCACATATGCGTGCTGGACAGCTGGTCTTCACGGGCACCAGAGTGTGGGAAAATGGCCTCCAAAAGGCTGAAAAACGACCAGGCTGTTTTTCAGGCCATTTTTCGGTTGTTTTCAGGCAAAAACCGGCCCAAAATACAGGCTGAAAACGGGCCGAAAAATGGCCACAACCGGCCAAAAAACAGGCCTGTGTGCACCAGTCAGCTGGTCTTTGGGTTTCAGGCGCTCTGGCATGTACACATGCACGTGCATGCACACTCGTTCCAGTTTGGGCACTCGGTGCCGTAAAGGATCGCATCACTGCCTTATACAATATACAAAAAAGTTAAAACAGGGAAACTTCTCATATATATATATATATATATATATATATGAGATATATCTGGGATATATATATCCCAGAAGACTGGGATAGCTCTCAAATCACTCCTCCACCAAAGTTCCCTCTCTTCATATTTGTACCTATTCCACATTGTGAATATTTTGTATTGATCGTTCAATTCATGCACTTAAAGGTTTTGACTGAATAAGAATCTTTTGTCCTTAGGTCAAACCCTACTTAGATGATAAAAGCAAGAATAACACAGAGTTCAAGAAAGTATAGTTAAGTCTGGATTAAAAAAAAACTTGACAACAGCAAAAGTAAATTCTCAACTTTGGTTACAATGAATTAATTTAAGTGGAGTCTCTTTGAAATATACTGTTTGGACTGTGCTGCCTCTTCTCAAATAACTCAACTCCTCAACCACTGCTTTCCTAGATTTCTCATACCTTTCCATCCATTACTTTATTTTAAAAAGGCACTGATAATTATCTAAAAGTCAAATCAGTTTAATACACAATTATCAAAAACCCAAACAAATGTACATTTTTGGTGTCTACTGTGTTTTGATATTTAATTCATTGTTCTAATCTATGCAGACTTATTCTAGATAGTCTAATAGTAAACTAACATATTTTTCAGAGAATAAGACGCACCTTTCCCCCCCA